TGGACTTCTCAAAAGCGTTTGATCACTTAGACCACGTCGACATTATTGTCGACCCAATCCTGTGTTGGATAGGTAATTTTCTACACGAACGTCCGTTGGAGGTGAGGGTCCTTGAGTCTCCATCCGATGCATTTGATGTGGAATTCCGTGTACCACAAGGCTCAGTGCTAGGTCCTCACATATGTTGCTTTCCATAAACGGTATAACAAGATCAATTGCTTCCTACTTCCTACTTTTCCTTGATGAATTCAAGATTGGCAGGGGATCAGAGGACCGGACGATTATGAAGAGCTCCATCGCGATTTTAACATGTTTCCGAATCGGTGAGTTTTCATTACCCTTCCCCTCAATGTGGAAAAATGGCGCGTTGCCCAACTACGCTATCGGCACGAATGCATGTATTGGCTTGGTACACACAGATTTCAGACCAGCTCCCAAGAACATGATCCTGTTTCGCTTGTACAGAGTGACCTCGATGATTCAAAACAGTTTGAGGCAACTGCGAAAAGAGGTAACCAGCACGTCGAACTGCTGCGAAGAACATTAGGGAGATTTGGCCCCTCCAACTTCCCGTTGATGCACAATTCCTACGTGCGCTCACACGCTGAATACGCTATTCAAGCTTGATTGAAGCGTGATCTGAAAGTGCTGAAGACGCCACAGCGAAGGGCAACAAAGGATATCAACGGCCATGGAGTTACTATTCCCAACGAAAGCTTTAGTTACTCGGAGCTCTCCGAGGACGCTACCGTAGGCTATGTGTATCGAATATTGAATGACCCCAACCACGTATGTCGCCATTTGCTGAAACTTAGCCACAAACCCAAGCTTAGTGGTAACTGCTTGGAACTGAGTGAACAATACAGGCATCTACAGTGTCGACAGAATCATTCTTCTCCCAAGATTTTGCTGACCCAGGAACTCCCAAACCCAGTTGTTTCTTCTCCTAATTTGGCTATTTCTAAAAACAATTGGATGTTGCTCTTAGTTCTCAACACTTCATTACCTATGATGCGCTACTGTGAATTACATTGAACATGCCTACCAGATTTATGTGTCCCAAGGACCCGAGGAAACGGTACGTGAGTGAGAGACCTTATTTTTATCATTCTCTCAATTGACATCAACTGTCACTGCACCCCACGTTGTTCTGTAGGCTTGTATTCACGTTGTATCTTTTACTATCGTTATTTACCGAGGCATTTAGCTCGGTGTGAACGCTTGGGCATAATTTCTGTCATTGTACTTTCCATCCCAACCATCCTACGGGACTTGTGCGGCATTTGATTTTTAACCCGTGACAAAGAATTGTTCAGTGTTCAGCGTGCTTATCATCTTCCTTAACCGATGCCATCACTTAAGCTACTGAGTCATGCGCGACCTCTGTGGGCCAACCCAAATAAACAATAGCTGCGATACAGCATATCAGAAATACTAGAGCATGGTACTCGATTTCAGAACGGCAAATCTGCGCGCCACATGTCCCGGGGAGAAGAGCCATTGCTATTAGTAGCAACACTACAGTTAGGCGAAAAGCGCCAAACAGACGGCGTTCCTTATCTGCTTCTGTGTGGTTCCTTATCGCACCGTTTGTGTCAAAGCATCTAGAATAACGGGATCAGCTCTGTTATTAAACTTCAACAGACCTAGCACTTAATGCTTACTCCACGTTCGTGTTACACGTCAAAACTGCGCTGTAGACATGGTCGGGTGAAGACTATCAGTCTATTCCTGTTGCCTCATTTTAGATTGTTATACTGACACGAATGCTCCGGCATATATAGCTTACCCGTGTATGACCATGAGCAATACTTTATTGATAAGCTGTCCATATTTCTGGTACATTTGAGAAAGCTCCACAGTATTATCAACAGTATTATTATTATCCTTATTATCACAATGCACTATCTCTAAGGTATAACAACTTATCAAACTCTCACGTATTTGCTTACATATAAGTAGCGTTTATGTCCCACAAAGCACCACACTTGGAAACTGTCACTTCATCCTTTTTGTGCACCGGCTTACCGCAACTTGGTGAACCTTTCTTGTGTGATTGACCCTTTAGCTTCGTTTCCGCAAGTAGCACTCGGTCCAGCCTGGATTTTTCCGAAGCTATTGGTCTAATGAGTCTTAGATGCGTTACCAAGTTAAACGTTACTTTTGAAGGCATCGACAAAATTGTTTCTGCTAACTTATTGCTCTTTGTGTTGATAGCTTCTCTGTTCTCTTATCCGCTACTATTCTTCACTTGCGACCCGTTCTCAGCTTGTTCTGTCGAAATTTCCTTGCTCCCTCTGATTGCATTCGTGGCGCATGTGTCTGTCTCTCCCATCTTCGTAGGCCTCCACTCCTCCCTGTATTCGATTTCTCCACTCTATTCTGATTGAAATTGGGCTGTTCCATTAACCGGAGGTCCATTTATGAGTACACCTTGTATGATTGGATTGCGCCACTTATGGCGCCGGCGTGATATCACTCTTGCCCTGAAGGGTAGAGTGTACAATGCAGCAGTACGTTCGACCCTACTGTACGGTTGTGAAACCTGGCCGCTTAAAGCAGCGGACCTCAAGAGGCTAGTTACGTTCGACCACCGGTGCCTTCGTAATTTAGCTCACATCTGGTGGGAACACCGCGTGAGTAACGAGCGTGTTCGACGCATTGTTTACGGCCCAGGAAAAAGATCTGAACCGCTCAGCACCATTATTTCACGCACCAGGCTCCGATGGCTCGGCCACGTGTTACGCATGCCAGCCCACCGACTCCCTCGACGTGCGTTGTTTGCTCACCGGGGATGTGAGTGGAAGAAGCGAAGGGGTGGCCAAGCGATGACTTGGTCCAGGGGAATGAAGGCCCTCACTTCTGAGCTGACCTCGGTTGGAGCGTCTCGGCTCCCTGATTGGGGTCCGAAAGACGATGAACACGTTTGGTTGGACACACTTGCTGTTATGGCAAGGAGCCGACCTCAGCGGCGTTCGTGCTGTGAGTTTCTTTGTCTCACCCCATCTCTCTTAGCCTTCCGTTCCAATCATGATCTCATTAGTTAACCTTATATAATTTTGCATAGTAATTTTTTATGCATAGTAGCCGGCTGGTAGCTTACCGGAAAGATGCCCATCCGTTACCGATAGCTCAGCCGGCTTGCACAAGTTGCATTTTTCTTCTTTTTTCTATGTATTGCGGCACCGTAGCTGAGGTGTTTCCCACCTCTAGCTAACGTGTATGATGATGATGATGATGGCTGGGCTCACTGGGACCGCATTCCAAGCAGATGGAACTTGGGTGTTGCCCGCCCAAAAACACTGCACAACCACGACGCTTTTCGTCCTTGTTTTATCCCATCAGGTGGAGGTAGCATACCTCGGACGCGTGACCATTTGAAGAGTAGCCGAAACCTTTACCCATTTGACTACCGGGTCACGACGGGCAACACTTGACACAACGGTCACTGACTATCTGGAGAGCCATTTTGAAGTTCACGTTGTTTGATTTGATTACGATGTGCAATTTCAACGTAGACCGCGCTTTACAGGAAAGTGAAACTTAGCGATCACTGGGACCGTAGCCAAGCGTTTCTAGTCGTGACCCGGAAGCAAACGGGGTAGAGGTTTTGGCTACTATTCGAAGGGTCGCGGGCTCGAAGCCTGCTGTCTCCAATTGATGAGAACAAATCAGATCGAAACGCGTCGTGGTGTGCAGTCTTTTCGGGAGGTCAAAACTTACTTTCTATCCGCTTTTTCTTTTTGTGCTCTTCTGAAAATAACAAGTGATATTAGAGGGTTGAATTTTTGAGTATGTTCGTCGCAGGAAAAGTAAGCGAAGCAACGACTGCACATCCGGAAGAACAACGGACGTCCGTTTTCATTCATTGTGATTCGTTAACTATACGCCACTGTGGAATTCGATTGCTTGCATCAGACTTTCGAAGACAATCTGGACCATACTAGCTCCAATTGTAATCCTCCTCCTTCAAACCTAAACTGTAACCAAGAAGTCCGCACTGAATGTACTGTTGGATGCCCTAGTGTCATCAGTAGGCAGCAGCTCCCCGGTTACTAGTCTCAGTAGAAGGAAACACCTGGAACAACAATAAAACAATTGTTTTATGCGGGTAAAAAGCTCATGCTTTGCAGGTCTCGTAGGATGGTTATGATGAAACTACAAAATATTAAAACATGTTAGCAAAATTAGTTTACATCGGTGAACTCACTGTATGCTAGTAGGCCAACTTGGACATGGGATAAAACTAACATTCTCCAAGAGTCCATTATCAAATCGTCACAAAGTATTTCTGTGGACCTCGCTTACTGTCTCAGACATCATTACAAATCTTTACGTTATCTTAATTTGTCCAAGGTTGTTTCCGTCGATCAAGATACGGCCGGTGTCTGCGTAGAGAGGTAATCTCATCTTTCCTGTCTTTGCGACGTGATGTCGAGTTTGATTATCCAAGTATCAGTAGAACACGGTAATCACATGGATTTGCTCAAAATATTCTATTTTTAGAGGATTTGGGAAAAATACGTGCCTTTTAATAAGTAGCTCGATTTACAGTTTTGTCATCTGTATCATGTACGTCTTGGCGCTTGGGGGGAAGTAGTTACTTTAAACACGCCGTGAATAATGCAATTCACAAACCGCTGCCCAGGAGGCTCATTGACTCTGCCATAAATTCACTGGTCAAGGAAGTATCATGTTCAAAGTTCTCATTGCCGATTGTCATTATCCGCACAATCTAGAGAAAGATAAAGGTAGTTTTGTTACGGTGCAAGGCGACGTCCTTCATTTTTATCTTGATTGTAGTACGGCGATTGCAGCACCCCAAGTTTAACATAACATAACTCGATGTCTAACTCGGGATCGTGTACCGTATTTTAAAGCACAGTACATAGTCCTAGATACTAGTGCGAATTCTACTTACGCTTTTCAGTCTATAGTAGTTTTCATTTTTCAAGATGCTTCGTAAATGATCACAATTAGCTGCTCTCTCTTCTTTGTAGCCTTCCCATTCTGATGAGAATCTCAAGTGGAAATGTTTGGCCAAATTACGATGCCTTCATCCTCTACCTCACGGTACCACTGCCTACACACTTCAGGTGGCTGGACACACTGTGACCTCCGATTCAACTGCTGCCAGTAAGTGCAACGTCTTAAATCACTCGATCGAACCGTTGATGAGTAAAACGCATGAAGCTCAGAACTTCGAAGTTACACGACATCTTGTTTTTTTCGTAGCTCCAACACAACAACACCCGGTAGTTTGCAATAAATCAGAATACTTCTAGCTCGGGTTGACTGTTCTAGTTTTCGTTTGTTCTCCAAACCGAGGAATTGTGCTGCAGACATTCCGTCACCAGTCGAGGTGACATCCTCAGTGCCACCGGTTAGCGTACAGCTCGTTGAGTCCATCGTCGGCTCTTGGTCGAAGACCAAGTGACGTTTGAAATTGGCCTCTTCGCTTCATATCATGTGACCTTCGGTGGTTTGTTGTTCGTCTGCCGCTGCTTCCTATCTTATGTTAGGACTTCTGATCGGTCTAGTTTCTTTCTTTCTCAATGGTTGGTGCACCGGGTCTAGGTCTATGCACAGATTTATGGAGTGTCCTGTAGTAAACCACGCTTCAAGGAATTCCCTGCTTTTTCTTCTTTCTCCCCGCGCGATACTTTCGGTTTTGTCCCAATCAAACCTGTACCCGTCCTCATCAACATGTGCCGAGACCAGAGATGATGCGTAGTGGTTACGGCAAGCTCGTTTGTGCTCTTGTATTCTTGCAACCAATTTGCTCCCTGTTTGGCCCACAGAGTTCTCGCAGTGCATGTATTGTATGCTGTAAACAACATTACTGCGTTCGTGTGCCTTCAATTTATCTTTCGGTTTAGACAAGGTCCCCTTGAGTGTGGCGGTTGGTATGTGGGCAACCATCAGATGATACGCTTTGAGAAATCTGGCCGTTATTTTTGGTAACTTCTTGGCATAAAGCAAAGCGATCCATTTCTTCGTTATTGATTCAGGCGTGGTATTTTCAGCCCTGCAGTTCGGGTGAAACTGCGCGGGTATCCATTGCGCATGAAGAACGTAAACAGATGTTTCGCTTCCTCTTATTTTGCCTCCTCAGTATTACAGTGTACCTCAATCCTGCGAAATGTGGTCCGTATGCAGCTTATTTTGTGACAATTTGGATGATTACTGTTGAAATTTAGGCTTTGGTCAGTGTAAGTGCCCTTCCTCTAAACTAATGTTTGCATTTCTTCTACTATTGTTCTGTTAACAAGCACGTCCAAGAAAGGTAGTTGATTTTCCATCTCTGATTCCATGGTGAAACGAATGTTGTCCATGGCATTGCTCAGCAAGTATTGCGCGGACTGTAGCTGACTGCGTTTGAGTATCACGAAAATGTCACCAACATATCGGACCCATAATTTCGGGCTGATAATCGGGAGCAGGTTCTCTTCCAAGTTCTGCTTGATAATCTCTGCGAGGAGCCTAGATATGGGGGATTCCGTTGGGGCGCTTTTCAATTGTTCATGGAACACTCCGTTGAAGTAGGTTGTGAGGCACAAGTCAAGAAGTTTGCATACACTATTGGTTTTCAAATTTGCAATTGTTGTTCCGCTGTCATCCAGGCGTTCTCTGATGTTTTCTTTCGCCACTTGCAAGTTGACGGCGGTGAACACCGCGGCAACGTCTAACAACACCATTATTTCCTCATGATTGCTTCATAGTCATCTGAGCTGCTCTAAAAACTGATGTGCATCGTTTATCGACCACTACGATTCATTAATCAGAGGTTTAAGGCGCCTCCACTATTATTTATCTAAGCTGTATGTGGGTGTACCAGGAAGGTACACGATTGGCCATAGTGGTGCACCATCCTGGTGTACCTTCGGAAGGCCGTAGAATTGTATGATGTTTGAATCATGAGTCTTCACTCTGTCATGTTCCTCCCTAGTGAGTTGATTCAGATCCCGAAGTATTTTTAGTATCTTATTTATCTTATTTGTTAATTGTACTGTTGGATCGTTCTCCATGCGGCAGTATGTTAGTGTGTCGTCCAGGACTTTCCTTGATTTTTCGACGTAATCCGTTTAATCCATTATGATCGTCATTTGTCCTTTGTCCACAGACAGGATCAAGAGGGTTTCATCAGCCTTCAGGGATTTTACTGCGTTCTTCTCTTGCTGTGATAAGCAATTTTGTTGCCTGTTGTGCGTTAGGATTGGAACGGCGGGCTGCCTTAATCTTGTTTTTACCTCTTCGTCAAAACCGTTGGATTGTAAGGCACTTCCAACTCTTTGATCGCCATATAGTGTTTGGCTTTCAGACATCATCTCTGGCTTATCGGCAAATCTAGCGAGAAATTCCATCGGTTTAGTCTGCTGGTAGTTATAGTTTAGCCCTTTGATGAGAACTTGTCGTTCAACATTGTTAAGCAGACGGCTGGACAGATTTCTCATTGACATTAGGGCACTTGCTGTCGGTTAATTTCGCCAACTTCTCATGCAGGCAGGTCTGCTTCTTTGCCTTCACATTTGCTGTTCTGCGACCGATTGACGTGTGTAATTGTTCTGTCAGTTGTTGGCCTACGGTTTGTAGGCAGGCGGCTCTGTGTTCGTTAAGACATTCGCATATTTCTGTACGCGGTTGTGAGCTTCAGTAATCATTAACCGATTCATTCGTTTTCCGAACCGCTTTGCAGCGGCCCATGCTTGTGGATGATTATGGAACAATGGAACAATGGTTTATTACGAGTAAAAAAGCGTTGATTGACAAGTCCCGTAGGATGGAAATTATTGTGAAAATCAATTGCATGATAAAGTGAAAAGCGTTGTGGTGGACTCACCATATACTTATGCGGAGTAGCGGAGATGTTCGCGTATTAAACATATAAATCCATAAATCCATTGGTTAGTCGTTTGGCAAGACACCGTTTGGTTGCGTTTTGTAGCCCCTGGCTAACAAGTCATAAAATGGAATGTAAGTGAGACAATGCATCGTCAACACGTTTTTTAAATATCGCCAGATTCGGAGCAGAGACGACATAATTAGGGAGGGCCTTCCAAGGCTGGCACATGCTGAGGGAAAATAAATTTTTACGGCATTTAGGCCGGCCATACTGAATTGTCAGTTTCAGAGGGTGACCTCTTATTTTAGTGTTGTAGTTCAATTCCAGTGGCGGACGGCAAATGTGGTTTGGGTTCTTCAGAATCTAATAAACCATTATGAGATCCCCCTGCAAAAACCGATATCGACTGCTGTAGATTCTTAGAGATTTCAGTCTAAGATGATAGGGCAGATGAAAGAGGCCCCTGACATTCTTGGTTGCCCTTCGTTGAGGAGTCTCGAGAGCAACGAGATCCTGTTTCTGCCACGGCTGCCACACCTGAATAGCATATTCCACGTGAGGTCGCACGTAGGCGTTAAACATTTGTGGAAAGATTGAGGGTTCAAACCGATCAGACGCTATGCGAAGAAGGCCGAAGTGTTGATTTCCGGTTCTCGTCGCCTTCTCTGCTTGTTTTAAACACCCAAGATCTTTCTGTACTAATACACTCAGGTCACGCCCCTGAGAAACCTTCGCCAAGGTATAGTCTGCAATCTTGTAAGCGCTCACCGGCTGGTGACGCAGATGTATCACTTTGCACATAGCTATGTTCAATTGAAGCTTGTTCCTCTTTGACCATTCGTAAATGCAATCTAGGTCATGTTGGAGCAGATCCTGATCTGGCTTGTTACCAATCGCCCGCCATATCTTGACATCATCGGCGAAAAGCAGGAAATTTTAGGAGATGACTAATGCCAGGTCGTTGATAAACACCAGGAATAAGCGCGGTCCCAGCACTAAGCCTTGCGGGACACCACATTCCACCTCAATTGGGTTAGAAAGTGATCCCCTAACACGTACTTGAAGCTTTCGTTGGTAAAGGAAGTTGCCAATCCAATCCAATCCGATTCCGTAACTCTGTAGTCTTTGAAGTAGGATGCGGTGATCAAGGCGGTCGAAAGCTTTGGAGACGTCCAGATAGATGACATCGACTCCGACCCCATCATCGGTCACTTCCGTCTAACTCCCTCGTGCAATAAGTAGGTTGATGGTGCATGACCGGTGTTGACGGAAGCCATGCTGTTCCGGTACCAAAATGTTGCATTTTTCTAGGTAGTCCATTAAAGCCTCAGCGACGACTGCTTCCATCACCTTCGCGAGCACAGGGAGGAGAGTCACTGGACGATAGTTAGCAGGATCGGAACGGCTACCGCCTTTAAAAATAGGGGTTATAATGCCACACTTCCACATAATGGGGACTTGTTGTTCATCAAAGCACCTTTGAAAGAACTGTGCAGTGGTTCAGCTAGCTTGGTGGCCGTAGCCTTCAGTGCCTTCGGGCGGATGTTGTCTGCTTACGGAGAACTATGCTCACGCAGTGAGAGTAACTTCCTTAGCACAATTGATGGATTGAAAATAACATTTGTAAACAAAATGTCGGTAATGTGCTTGATATTATGGGACAGGTAGAGGTTGCGAGTTCGAAGATTGGGGCGTATTGAAGCCGCAGGGCATTAGCTGCTTCTTCGGCGCTTTATACTCTACCGCCTGTCGTGAAAAGTGGGGGGATTCCATGCTTCACTTTACGAAGCTTATGGACATGCCTACATAGCAGTTTGTTGTTTGCCATGAATTTTTTGGCTAAGCTCTGTTGATAAGTTACTTTGTCCTCACGGACAAGTGCAGTGCAATAGTTGCGATTGGTCAGGAAATTTCCCCAAGCCTCTGAGTCGGGGTTAATCTTGTAAGCACGCCATGCTGCATCCCTTATCGCCAGGCATTTTCGAGTCCTACTCCTTATAATTGAAGGCATTTTCGCAGGACGAAGGGGTTTGGTCTCTGATGCTTTGTTGACGATGTCGCTGAGTCTATTAACGAACTCTGCACAAACGTTGTCAAGGGGACTTATGTTTGAGAATTCCCAAGCAGCTGCGTCGGCGAGTTCTTTCAATACGTGGTACTGTGTGATTGTATGAGTTAGTTCCGAGTGTTCAGTTGGATACTGTGCATAAGACACATAGTTGTACATTATTACTACATTGTCACTGAGACCTAATGGACTATCCATCAATAACTTGTCAACCATGAGCTCTTC